GTCAAAAGGAGTGGGTGAGCTATAGCCAGAGAGCCAAATCGCCTCCTGTTTTTGTAAACAAAATTTTCCTGAAGCACAGCCATGCTCAATGATTCCTTATTGTCCCCCAACTTTCACACCCCTTCCCAGCCGAGTTGAGTAACTGCGGCAGAGACCATATAGCCCATAAAGTCAAAATATTTTATAATCTGGCCCTACAGAAACTGTGTGCCGGTCCCTGACCCAGTTCTCCACGGCTCTGTGCCTTCTCTCTCACTGAACGTACTTGGTCTTGCTCTCAACGTTCTAACACTACCCCCAGCTCCCAAGTCCAAGGACAGATCCCCACTGGGGTCCAGCCAGCTCAGGGCCCTCAGGGCTCTCTCTCTCCTACACCCATCCTCTACCGTCCCAGCTCTGCCTCACCCCCAAACCACCTATGTGGAGACAGGGTCAGGTCGCAGGCTGTACAGATGGCATCCTGGCCCCCCTGCTCTTAGTCACATTTACCTAGTGCACAGTCTTGGGACTTGGCCCTGAGCATCTCCGTCACACATGAGACTGATGTGTCTGATGAGACTGATATGAGAGTCTGATGAGACTTCTGCTTAGATAAGTATTCTCCCTTCCTGCTTAAGAAGGGAAGAGCTTGGTGGTTTTGCTTCATTGACCAGAGACTGACCTGAGACCCAACTCATGTGGAAGTGCCCAAAAGGACTCAGAAGCTCAGGTGACAGCTGTGTAGAGCTGGGTTTTCCACTCCATGGCTCTGCCTCGAACTTTCTAGGCAACTCTGGGAGACGTGTTGCTGAGAGGTGTTGCTGTTCTTATTCTTGTGCAAATCCAGACTTCTCAGTCTCCCCAGATGGGCCTTCAAGTCCTTCACTTTAATATAATAAAATTAAAAGACTCAGATCAAACTCAGTGTGGCCGAAGAGCTAGCTCATTGCCATTTTTCTCCATGGGGGATATGGTGGTCATTTGTGCAATTTCACAGAGTTCCTGGATCTCTTGCTTTTCTGTATGTGATAGGATTGGACTTCCCTACAGTTAGTTTGTGGTTAAGTGTGGTCATGTGATCTGCTTTGGTCGACTAAATATAAGCATAAGTGATGTGTCTTATTTCTGGGTAGAAGATAGAAGGGCTAACTTGTGCTTTGCTGTATTCTCTTTTTCCATGCGTGGTAACCAGCAACATTTGAGGTCGTGATTGCTTCCTCAGCCTGGGTCTCTGAGTAACTACAGATAACAGAGCCCCTTGCTGACCCTCAGTGGACATGGAATAAACTTTTGTTTATTATACAGAGATTTGGGGATTGTTTGTTACTGCAGCATAATCAAGTCTCATCCTGACTGATACAACAGGGAAAAACTGGAACCTCTACTCAGTACAGCATATACTCCCATTTACAATTCTGTTTCTGAGGAATGATAACATGGGGAAATGCTTTCTATATTAAAAAAAAGAAAAGGGTAAGATACAAATATATACTTACCATATAGTTAATGCTCTATTTAAAAACATGTTTTTAGTATACCACCACACCACTTTCTCCCAAAGAAGTGAAGTAAAAATATTTGAATGCTCATAATCATTGTCTTTATATATTGGAAGCTTGTACTGTTTGCTTCTTTTATGTTTTCTGAATTTTCTTGGTACTTGAATACATTTTTAAATGTCCCAATGTATCATTTTTAAGTACCCAGCAGAGCTTGTTAGATGAAGAATGATCTCTCTATCCTCATCTCTCATTCTATATATCACCTCTTTTGTATCCCAGCATATCAAATGCATTGTACAGAACTCTCCATTGGGTCCTCATCAACTCTAGGGAGTCCTCTTTCAAGGACATGTACCAATGTCTTAGTTGCCTTTACGAGATTCCTAATCCAGTGAACCTAGAAGGAGTGGGTACATACTCCAAGGATATAAGAGATCAGGTCTGGGCCCATGGCTTCTTGCTCTCACGCAGGCAACCAAGCTGTCAACCAGTATAGCTTCAGGAGTCAATTCTGATACCATAGATATATATTATACTTCCTTTAAAAAAGAGTTATCCTGGTCATCATGACCTGGTTTGTTAGCAGTTACAAACCACGTAACCTGACTTCCTCATTCTACAGATGGCAAGTTTTGGACTAAGGGGTGTTAAGCGACTTTCTTAAATGAAATAACGACAGAAAAATAAAAGGTCTTGTGATTCCCAGTATAGTGCTATTCATTCTCTCATTTCCTCTGAAACACATTCTGTCTGCTAATTGCATGATTCTCAGGTAGGCTGTGTAGGAACTGTAAGGATGAATGAAACACAGCATTAGTACTCCAAGATTCTTACAATCAAGTATTTGGAGATAAGGTATTCAAAAAACTGTTCTCATTTGGCATAATTTGGGCTAAAATTAAAGAAGCCAGATTTCTATATCCTCTCTAGTAATTGATCAGATGTCTGTGTTTTTGTTGTTTTCTTTTGTTGTGTGAGACTCTTGTCTTCCCTGTAGGAACTTCCACCTGAGAACTGACCACAGCGTCCACATCCACCATGGCGTAGGTGCTTCGTTCCCCTTTTCTCTTCAGTGGTTGCCAATCTTTTCTTTCTTTTCCCATGATAACCTTTTCATAAAGGAAATATTAGATGGAATACCTGTATGTAATGAGTGGGGGAAACCTCAGTCCTCCTGTGTGTGCATACACACCTCTAACATGAATCCATGGGGTTTGTTCTCCACCAGGAAATTCTCTACGACACCCACTTGGTGTCCTGTGATTTAACTCAATTCTGACATTATCTACCTGGAAATAGGATGAGAGCCCACCCATTAAGGGCTCGGTCCCACAAGACTGCCCTCCCCACCCTCCACCCCCCACTCCAGATGCCAGTGGTTGAGTCCAGGTGATCACCTGTGCTCCTGACCAATCAGCTATAAATCTGAGGTTCCCACCGTCCCCTCCTTGGGTTCGATGAATTTGCTAGAGTGGTCCACAGAGCTCAGGAAAACAGTTTACTTACTGTTTAGCAATCTATTATAAAAGGTTATGACAAATGATGCAGACAAACATCCAGATGGAAGAAATGCCTAGGGCAAGGTGTGTGGGCATCCATGCTCTATGCATGTGTCACTCTCCCAGCCCCAACGTGTGCTCACCAATGCAGAAGCTCTCGGAAGGCCTACTTCAGGGATTGTTATGGAGGCTTTATCACATAAGCATAACCATCCATTAACTCCATCTTTAGCCCTACTCTCTTCCCTGGAGAATGGGGGGTGGGGGTGGGGAGGGCAGTCTTGTGGGACCGAGCCCTCCCACAAGAGGGGGTGGGGCTGAAAATCCCAAGTTTCTAATCATAGCTTGGTCTTTCTGGTGACCAGCCCCATCCAGGAGCTCACCAAGAGTCATCTCTTTACAACTAAAGACAGTGCTATCACCTAGGAAATTTTAAGGGATTTGGGAACTCTGTCAGGAAGTGAACTCAAAGGCCAAACATTAGAACAAAAGACGTTCGTAGTGCTCTTATCTAGTAGGAAATTACAAGGATTTTAGGAATTCTGTGCCAGGAACCCGGGGCAGAGACCAGTACATATATTTTCTATTATCTCACAAAAGCAGATTAAAACAGTGGAGTGAGGGATATAAACACCTACCATAGGTCCCTGCATAGGCCTCAAAGGTATACACATGCTTCTTGGAACATATTCGGAAAATCACGTAGCTCTCAAACTATATCACTTTATCCCAAAGCCCACCTTCTTTACGTACCCTCGGAATCCCCGGAAAGGCCCGCCCCACGTCCAGCTTCCTCCCACGCAGAGCCCAAGCTGTTCCAGGGAGGGAGGTGGGCATTGGAGGAGGAGACTCTAACAGCCTCATTCACCTGGGCTCGTGAGTTTTTAATTCTGCCAGAAGTCAGTGTATTTTTTTTATAGTATTCTATGGCTTTACAAGAAGTACAAACACTACATGAGAGTTCAGAGATGGGGAAAATATCACTTTAGGCTGGGGATCATCAGGGAAGAGGGAGGTTTTCTATGGAGGAGGTAGCATTTGAACCAGGCAAGAATGGAAAGAGCAGACTATTCTAGATAGAAGAGACCACGGGGGAAAGACGGAGGCAGGGAGACACGGGCATCTGTGGGAAAAGGCATGGGCTCCTAGCCTAGGAAGAACCAGGTGGGAGATAAGAGGAAAGACCATTGGGGGCCATCCTATGAGCCAGGAGTTCCAGGCAAAGGGGGTTAGATTTTACTCATCAGGCACGGGTGCCTCAGTCAGGTCTCAGCAGAAAGCAAGAGGCACACTCAGGAGGGGTGACTGAGGCACATTTACAAGTTTGTATTAGTTACAAATACAGAAGCAAGGTTAGGGGAGACCAGTGGGGGAGGCAGAGCACCCTGGAGCTGGCAAGAACAGGGAAGACTTGACCAGCCCGAGGCCTGGAGGGGAAGGGGGAAGAAAGAGCTACCACAAGGCTGGTGAGAAACAGTAGGAGAGGGCCACCCGCAAGGATAAAGCCAGTCTGCAGCCTGTCTGGGAGGTTGCTGAAGCAGGCACACCCCAACCTCATGGCGTTGCCCATTACAATCCTCTTTATCCTCTAGCCTGAGAGAAAAGCAGGGAATGGAAGCTAGGGAAAAGAGAGCCCGACGAGCTGTTCAGTGTCATCATCCTGGGACCTGAGCAGGGTAGAGCAGAGAGGAGAATGAGTCTGCAGGAAACAATGGAAATGTCTGGTACAATGGGGAACGAGCAAAGGTTTTGAATAGGGGAGCCCCATGAACTGAACCGAGCTGGCTGCCGGGCAGAGAATGGAGGGAACAAGGCTCTTGCCATAGGTCTGGAGAGAGAGACTGAAGACGCAGACCCAGGGCAGTGGTCAAGGAGTGCAACCAAAGGTTAGGACCTATGCTGACCTCGGATGCATGAGCTTTTTCCCTTTAGCACTTTCTCACTCCAATCTGATTTTTGAGAGCTTATATACTTTCTAATCAAAAAACTGATTTTCCTATTTGTGGACTTCTCTCCTCAGATTTGAACCTGTGGTTTCAGGAGCTGGGGTGACCTGATGGGACATCCTCAAGAAGCTTCTGGACTCTGAACAAAAGAGAGGCAGCACCTGGCCACGGGTGCTCAGAGGGAGGCTAGGCAGCCCCCCCCGCCCCCCGCACCTGCCCCCGCCAGATCCAGGTGCTCACCTCTGCAGCCTGTGACTCTAAGCAAGCACTATAGCACTTTAGAAAATGACCACCCCGGATCCTAGACCCCGATGTGTTCTGAGGCTCCTTCTTGCTGCCAGACTGAAAACAAGGGAATTTCCCCCCCCTACTTTTCCAAAGTGATTTCCAGAAGCAAAGATGAGTGGAAATTTTCAGTTACAGAAACGGACCAATTGCCAATACAGTTATTTTTATCTGCAGTTTCTTCTGGATTCTGGAAAAGCCTATTGAGTCCATGAACTCACAGAGCTTTAAACAAAGTTGAGCCATAATTGACATATCATATGGCTTAGTGGAATCTTGAAAGAATCTGAGTTATTTTAATTACAGAAAGCATTTAAGTACACAGTGGACAACTCCAAATTGTGGAGAAAGGCCGTTGAGTATTTTTGTGAGATCTAAATCACAAAGCATTTGTTTTAACCTGTAATGGCACCATATTAAATGATTTTTTAAAACTACATCTTCCCTTTTAAAAATGCTATTTTTTTTAACCTCAGAAACCAATGGCATATATTTAAAAAAATTTGTCATGCTAATGTGCTGTACCTACAAAGATTTCAGATGGGTACCCATAATGGTCAAAGCCCCAAACAAAGGTTCCTTTCCTGGCCCTCTCTCTGACTTTAAACTCCACCTTTCAGTGCTCGGTCCCTGTCTGTGATACAGCGACGCGAGTCAAGGCCTTTGATGTGGAGTTCCCTTATGTGGGTGTCAAGGGGAAGGGTAACTGCATGCAGCGACAACTCATTAATCCTGTTAAATTTGGTCTGTGTGCTGCAGCTATGAAGTTCAGGGTACTAGGTGACCCATGGAATATCCACATGTGTGCATTGTCGAGCACAGCAGAGTCCTAGGTCAGTGGGTTTTCTCTCTGGGTTTGGAGCCATGAGGACTTGAACACATGTTATATCTTCCCCTTAGATTGTGAGCTCCCGGAGAGCAAGGAGGGGGCAGGATTTTGTCAATGCTGCAACGTGTTGGGGGGGGGTAGAGGCCTCATGCACAATCGGCTCTAAGACTCATCCTGATATGGAAGAGAATGGCTACATGTAACATTCTTACTTTTTATGACCATAATATGAATGGCTAAAAAGCATGTAATGGCAATCCTTAAAAACAAAAGAGCTGGATGAGTTCTGTGTCTTAAAAAAAAAAAAAAGTACCTTTTACAAAGGAAGCAAAAATAGCATTTGGGAGAGTTTGAGGAATTGAGAAAGACCAAACAAACAAAAATCACCTATGATCTCATCGTCTCAACACAAGTGTTTTCATTTTTGCTGTTGGCTTTTGGTCCTTGTCCAGACATGTACACGATTTCAGCCATAGTTGTGATTTTCTATCCTTTTTTTTCAAATTTGCATTGTACCACGGGCTCCCACCTATGTGGCTGACTAGTCCTAATTATCATTTTTAATGCTCAGATCATAAAGAGCAGAGATTGGGCCCAAACGCTCTTCATCCCCTGACCATCATAAGCCCATATTTTGACTACTGGACTACAGTGACATTTAGGGTTCCTAAGGATTAGTATCATTCAGAATGGTGTTCAGGAATCCCTGAAAAGCCTGGGTATTTCCGTTTCCCCCAATGCACAGACACCTTCATAAATGACCCCAAGTCCCTTTGGGGATGGCTTCAAGGTAGATCTACAGTATTCGTGGTGTTGTTGTAGGATCCCTTCTGAGAACCGGGGAAGAAGCTATGATTCTCAGTTGTGAAAACCTCAAGTCAGATTTCTATTATATAGATCAAGTAATGCTTTGGTAGGCTGGCCATCCACTGAGTTCTTAGGACAAACCACCACTGAAGATTTCCTACAAGTAAAGAATTCTGATTGCTATTCTGGAATCTTATCCTCTCCGCTGAAATCAGGAAGCCCATCTCAGGGGCATTCCTCCCAGCACCCCTGGGCTGCAGAAAACAGCCCCCTGGAAGTGTCCAAGGTAGCTGGGGCTCCCTCTCTAATGCATTTCTCAAGGCTTTAGTGAAGGGACTATTCCTTGGGCCCTTTCAAGGTGAGGAAAGATGCACAGTTTACACATGATAAGTTACTCCATTATTCCTAACTCCTTAAGGCTTTAGGATCCTTCCTGTACATTATTCCACAGAAATTCTATCAACTCAATGTCAGTGTTGAGCACAGGTTTCAGTCAACTAAGTAAACAGACCACTCCCAGCTGCTCAAACTCATACATTTATTTCAGCTTGCTTTCACTGTATAACAAAACTTATGGCTTATGTTTCTCACTTATGCTTTTATGATTGTGTATGTTAGCAATTTAAGCTGGGTTCAGCAGGGGCAACTCATTTCTGCTTTATAGGGCATCAGCTGGGCTCACTCATGCATTTGCCATCAGTTGACAGATGGCTTGAAGGATGCTGGTCTTAGGTGGCCTCACTCACATGTCTTGGAGTTGGTGCTGGCTGTGGGCTGAGCCATGTACCTTCAGCAGGTCTATCCATGCTTTTTTCAGTATGGAAGCTGGTCCAGAAGAGCAAAAAGAGGGCCAACCCCAATGTGCAAGGAGTTTTCAGGTTTCTGTTTGCATCACATTTGCTAATGTCTCATTGGCTGAAGCAAGTCAGATAGCTAGGCCAAAATCAATGTGGGAGGGACTTACGTGAGGGCCTGATCTACACAAATGGTATAATTTCCTGGGGACTATTGCTCTAACAATCTACCATAGCATTAAGTCCAAAAACCTATGGAGAGTGTATTATATCAGGACTACCTAAATTTGGCCCCAACCCGATGTTGTATTCTGTTTTCCTTGGTCTGATACCCTTAGAGTCCAACTCAATGTATATTAATTAGGTTTCTTCTAGTATAAATTTAACAAAGTCTTGTGATTCTTTTGGAGTAAAGTCTTTTCCTCCAGAGCCAGACTCTACCCTTCTCCCCCTGAATATGCTGGGATCTGACTCTAGCTAAAAGCCCAAAGACCATGAGAGCTGAGAGCAGTGGGGTTTAGAAAGGATAGGAATCCCCGTTCAAGACCGCTGCCTTATCTGTGCTTATTACAGGTTTTCAAGCAAAGAAAGGCTGGTATCATCAAATAGGAGAGGCTTCTTCCAAGGGAAGCTCAGACCTAGCACAAATAGACCATAATGCATGTTGATTAATGCTCAGATCATAAAGAGTGGAGACTGGGCCCAAACGCTCTTCATCCCCTGACCATTATAAGCCCATATTTTGACTACTGGACTACAGTGACATTTAGGGTTCCTAAGGATTAGTATCAAGCCTTTCTTTGCTTGAAAACCTGTAATAAGCACAGATAAGGCAGCGGTCTTGAATGGGGATTCCCTATCCTTTCTAAACCCCACTGCTCTCAGCTCTCATGGTCTTTGGGCTTATTTAGTTAGAGTCAGATCCCAGCATATTCAGAGTCTGGCTCTGGAGGAAAAGGCTTTACTCCAAAAGAATCACAAGATTTTGTTAAGTTTATACTAGAAGAAACCTAATATACATTGAGTTGGACTCTAAGGGTATCAGACCAAGGAAAACAGAATACAACATCGGGTTGGGGCCAAATTAATCAATATGCCATTGCCTGCCATAGATTACCAGTTCCCATTTACCATTGGCAAAGAGTTTGGCTCTGAATTCAAAGCAAATCACCCCCAGCATCCGGGGGGTGGTCTGTTTCCTAGGACCACTCCTGGTATCCAGTCCTGTACGAGCCAGGGTCCAGTCAGGAAAGTGGAGCGGATTTAATATTAGGGATTGGCTATAAAAATATTAGAAGGCAGAAGGAGTGAAAGGTAGATACCAAAGAAACCCAAGTATTAGAGCTGCAAACGGCAGCTAACTTTCTGCTGTGGGCGGCTGACAGAAGGGACAAATGCAGGAACTGGAAACAGGAAGAATTCTCTGCCTCCCCCGTTCCCATCCCCTAGGGCCTCCCAACCATTGAACTTCACAGGAAGCCGGCCGGCAAGGGAAGCTGGTAAATGCAGTTTGCTGAAGTCCAGCCCGAGCCTGGCAGAACACAACAGAGGAAGGTAGGCTTGGAACTGAGAACAGGAGGTAACTAACCAATTACTGCATCAAAACTTATCTAGGTAAATAGAGATATATTCCCTGAGAGAGGAAAATACAGAGACGATGGATTCTAGTTAGATTGTGGCACAAGGAACTTTCTTAAACTTTGTGGCCTTTAACCATATAACAAGGGCCTAATATATATTTATTGATTAATTGGATAAGAAGATAGCAATTGGGAACTGCTTTGGCCAGGAGCATAGGACAAAATAAATTTATTTTTAAATGCATTTTGTAGAAGTATCAGTTGCATCATTTGATTGCAATTGAAAGAAAATCTGATGCGGATGGGCTTATGTTAAAAAAAAAAGAGTGCACTGGCTTCTGTAACTGAACAACCAAAGGCGTGGGTGGGAACAGGGGTCTAACGAAAACATCGGCACCCAGATTCTCTCTACCATCTCTTCCCTCTGCTTACTTCTTGTTGACCTGTTGTCAAATGCGACTTTGTATTCTCAACAGCGGGCTCCTCTTAGGGGAAGTAAACTCCAAATAGCATGTTCTCTGCTCAGTTCTGTTTGTCCTATAAAAATAGAATTCCATGTTAAAACAGAACAGCTACAAGAAGTACAGAGGAAGCAACTAATGCCCAGAGTTAGGGGTTGGACCGATCGAACAGAAATATAACCAGGCTAGAAAGAAAGAAAAAAAAGAAAAGAGAAAAGAAATATAATCAGACTGCTGGTCAAATCAGGGAACTTCCCAGTATCTCAACCCATAGGGGGTTGCTTTAAAACTCAGCACATGAAATGCTCAACTTCCAGGTAATTTAAAGTTTAAATCAAAACAAAATTTAAGGAGGCCTTTTCAACCATAACATTGGCAAATGCTTTTTAATGATAACAC